GACCGGTTATGAATTTTGACTGTAACATATAGATTAAACTAAACCAAGCAACTGTTTTCCGACTACGGCAAATTAAGCAGAGCTGCCCTTTGCGGCTCCAGGCAATTGCAAATGCGACTAAAGTGTGTTCATGTATATATATGTTGACAATAATTATATAGTCAGAATAATCTAGTTAAAAGTAAAAAAAAAACGATATAATGAGGCAATTTCAATCAGTTATCATAAAACTTAAGTTAAAAGGGTGATGAAAGACATGTAACAATGGAATAACATTTATGTTTTATTGCATGTTTTACGATCGTATAAAGAAAGGTTTAAACCAGTCTTTCTCAAAGTGGCCGATAACGCTCCCTTGTGGGCGTTGGAGACATAGATGGGGATGTTAAGGGGCCCAGAAAAAAATGGAGGTGTTGGCGTGCTTTTTAATTTCATTTAAATACTTTATATTTTAAAGTTTACTAAAATTAAAACCTACCTACTACTCAATATCGACCAATTAGTTTATATTTCTGCCCTGTATGATTGTATATAAACTAGAAATACTTCAGGTCGGAAGCAAAAAAGGAGAGACGGCAATATAGTGCAGAATATATTAAATATGGAATCATAGAAATTTCGACAAATCCATCTTTGCCTTCCTGCTTTCTTTGTTCAAAAACATTTTCAAACGAAGCGATGAAGTGTTCAATACTTCAAGATCATTTGAATAATATGCATCCAGATAAGAAAGACAAAAATGTAGCCTATTTTCAAGACCTGGAAAAGAAGCATAATGCTCAGCCAAGTGTATCAAAATTTTTGTCGGTGGCTACTAAGCAAGATGATCACGGACTTCGAGCTTCATTCATTATCTCTTTGTTAATTGCTTAAACGGGTAATCACCATCGGAAAAACGTTAATTTTGCCGACAATAAAAGAAGTTATAACTACTGTGCTCCATAAACCGGCGGCAGACATAATTCGGAAAATTCCTTTGAGCAATAGTTCTGTGCAAAGACGAATTGATGAAATGGCTGAAAAAATTGAAGAGTCATTGTGCAATCATCTGAAGACTAGTCAATTCTCAATTCAATTGGATGAGTCCACTTTACCAATTAATAAAACATTGTTGTTGTCTTACGTGAGGTTTATTAAAAATGAAAAATATGTCCAGAATTATTATTTGCTAGAAATTTAGAGACACAAAAGCAGAAACCATATTTAAAACATTGGAAAAGTTATGTGATGAAAAAGAAATTCCCTTGAAGAATATTATATAAGCTACTACAGATAGTGCTCCAGCTATAACGGGGTGTAAAAAAAGGCTTAATGGCGTATTTAAAAAACCAAATTCCAGATGTGCTTGCTGTAGATTGCATTATACATCAACAGCATTTAGTTGCTAGAAATTTAAGTGAACGACTCATTCAATCATTGCAACATGTCATCAGAGCAGTGAATAAAATCCGAAACAACTCTTTAAATGACAGATTATTTAATCAGCTTTGTGTAACTAATGATGGAGATTTCAACAAATTGATCAGAATTGCGTTGGCTATCATAAGGAAATTATCTGACTCGATTTTACAATCTGTTTGACTCTGTCGTAGTGTTCTTGAAAAACAAAGATACCGAATAGCGCGACCACGTAATCACATCAAAGAATAATATCGCATACCTGACAGACCCTTATAAATTGCCTAATGATATGAATTTTTTATTCAAGGCGACGACTTCAACTTTAAAAAAAAAATGTAGTCGCTACTTTCGTAGCCAAGTTGCTCTTACACAAGAAGAATATCGGCAGACGTGAGTTCCATAATTTTCCCAATTTATCAGTATCCTGCAACATCGACGACTTGCTTGTCTACTGCCAACATTTGGAAAATCTCCACAGTGATTTCATTGAAAGATTCCAGGACATTTTGAAATTGGAAATACCAGACTGGTTGTTAGATCCTTTTTCAAATGTCAACATAGCAGTATCACCCCAACTGGAAGAAGAACTTATAGAACTGACAACGAACGAGGAAATAAAAATCAAATTCAAAAATGGCTACCAAGAATTTTGGCAACAAAAGTCAATCCCGCAGTTGTACACTGGATTGTGGTCGATCGTTCAACGATTTTTGATAGCATTCCCATCGTCATGTTTGTGTGAACGTGGATTTAGCGTTGTCACAACGCTGCTTACTTAAAAAAGAAATCATTTACATGTTACCGAACGCAGCGACTTACGACTGTTTTTGAGTAGAATCGAACCTGATATCAAAAAACTTATTAAAAATCATCAAATTCATCAATCCCATTAAATAAGTTTTAGAACTAAAATTGATTACCTATCTATACTGTTTCTTTTAATTTGATTAAAATACTCGTATATTCTTAATGTTATAAAGGTTTGTTATGGTTTTTAAGTTTTAGGAGTGTATAAAACATTGGGGCGCTGAAAAATAATCGATTTTTGAAGGGGCCGGTAAAAAAATAAGTTTGATAATCTCTGGTTTAAACTATCAATTTGATGCGTAATTTACCATGAAATTGATGTCTATAGATGCAGTTGAAACTCTACTGGTGATGGTTTTATGACTATCACACTTGCGAGTATGTAATGCGTTTTTAATGTTAGTGTTATAATAGAGCGTCGTATGGCATAGTATCGAAATATCACATTTAGGCGATTTATTAATATAAGGCGAAAGCAGCTGTAAGGAAACTGGGGATTCTTGCAAAGAATTTCATTTAGGGACAGCTTCTGAGCTTCTGTACATACAAAGCACATGACCTATCAGCTGTGGAATACTTCTGCCACGTATGGGCTGGAACTACGACATACAAAGCACATTTGGACTCGGTGGAGAACGTGCCACAAGACTTATTTGGAGGCAATAAATTACCTACCTACAAAATTACCGAGTCACGAGCACGGCCGTAATGGGACCAGTTTCTCACTGTTTTATGGAATAAAGTTATGAAAGTGTGCTCAAGAATAACACGATTTTTTTCCTCATACTATTTCCATCGTCGAGTCGTAAGATGCACCGCGGTGAATTGGGCGTTCAGTAATGGCAAAAAGATTGGAATAATTTGTTGGCACAGTTTTTCCGTGTGAGCGTCTTTAAGAGAACAGTGAATAATGTTTTTGCTAAGCTAAGACTTAATGTCAGGTGAGATTTTAATGAAGCACTACCTTATAATAATTAAATAAACTATTGTTTCTTTTATAATCAATACCTATCAACTTAATCATCATATTTTAACATATTTTTTATAAAAGATATTTGCTAGCCAAAATTATTTAAACACTTTAAGAAACAAATATCAGAGTTCAAGATCAGTAAACTGCACTATAGCATATCGCTCACGGAATACGATATGTGTACAGATTTTCGATTGATGATAGAATTTATAATGGACGCTTTCGTAAAAAGTGGTTGTACACATTGCAGGACCGACTATGTCACCAAAAATGTGTTAAAAAAAACTGTCGATCCAAGAATAGGGTATTGGAGAGTGAAGATGGAGATTGGCGTGCCAGTTCCAAATGTCTCGTACCGTTAACGTAGCGTCCCCGCCGAGGTATGAATAAGTCAAGATAGTTATACTGTCCTCTATTTGAAGTCATAAGATTTTGTGGGTATTCCCCCTTAGTCGTCTGAATGAAATGGGGTGCATCGAACTTACAGATGGTAAATGGCATCATTGTGTAGTGGCAGTATTGATGGATTGGTCATTACCAACAAGACATAACCAACGAGGCAGTGAAACTAATGTTGTCGCGGCTACTGATCATGAAGTCTCAGGTTCGAATCCCGAGTCGAGCCAAAAAGGGGTTATTAGTTATATGGGTTTTATTGACAACAAATCTCAACCCCGTGCCTCGGAAAGCACGTTAAGCCAATGGTCGTGCGCTTAATCTCTCTCCGTTTCGTATAGCTGTCCTATCGGATTATGAGAGTGCATCTGTGCTTGCGAACACGTGCGGTTAGTCACCGTTGAGACTGGTCGCCGTGACCGAAATCCAGCCAACTTCAAACAAAGAAGGCTACAGGTGCATGGTCACTTCTGGGGACTAAGATAAAATGCATCACAGCCTATGAATTATCTTGAGCCGCCAAAATACGCCCAGATTTAAATTTCAAGGCAAAATGTTCTGCATATAAGAATACAAATATGTAATAGAAAGGATAATACGTAGCTATCCTTAAACTTCTTTGCCAAAAACCTCAAAGCACAAGACGGGATTTATATTTAATACATGCCTTTGTTTGTATAATATGCATTTACACGTGCATAAAAAAAATATTTAACAAATTATGTGAAAAAGAAAATGTTTTCACTAATTCTTTTATAATATCGTAATATAAAAATATAAAATACCGTAATATCGACACAGAAATATACCACATACTGTCAAAGAAATTTATTAACGGATATATATAAAATTGTATATTTAATGTAAAAACTAAATGTATTTATTTTTTATTTATTTTTATTTTTTGGCGATCACCTTATTCCCAATTTGAGCAGTTAACGAGAACTCATGTTGTAGAGATTTCAAAGTAAATTTCTTTAAAGTGCTTGCATTTTAATTAATTTATAACAATGTATTTATAAAAAGTTGTAATGACATTTCAAACTTTTTATTTTTCCTAAAAACTTTCAAGAAAAATAAAATAAGTAGAATCAATAACGTGTCAAAATTATTGTTCAAAAAGTTAATTCAAATTAAAAAATAACCTAATTAATATATATAGGCTTTCCTTTGACATTGATAATTGAGTGAATTTCGATCGTGAAAACGACAAAAGGAGTGCGTGCGAGATTGAAGGCTTTACCGCGTTTGTATGCGTAGGCTCCGAGGGAGTGGAATGAACTGGCGGGCTCGGTTATAGTATCGGCGCGTCGCTCCAACACGGCGCACGCGCAGCTAACTGATATCGACGATCAGTATAAAAGGGCCCGTGCCCTTGGTGCAATTCACTTAAACTCTTCTCTTGTAAGCAGCACGATCTAAAATGGAAAACATTGTTTCAAAACACGGCCATGGTCACGACCATGTAGATGATACTGAAGGAGTGGTTATGGCTAAAGGAGTCGCTATGGCGGTCCTCTTCTGTGCCTCTATGGTTTGTGGAATCACTCCTCTTTTCCTGGCTAAGCGTTTCCGGTGGATCTCAACAGATGAGGCGGAAAATTTGAAGTCCAAAAACCGGGTGGTCATGTCCCTGCTGTCATTCGGTGGTGGTGTTCTACTATCGACTACCTTCCTTCATCTGCTGCCTGAAGTTCAGGAGAACGTTGATTATTTGCAGGGTGAGTTTGCCTTTTTTATGTTTTATACACAATTAATAATGTCATTACGGTTTTGCGGTTTTCAAGTTGTGGCAGCTAACGTCATAAGCAAACAGTTACTGTGGTATTTATTATGCTATAACAATAGCGTCTAATAGTAAATATGTAATTCGCACCGAAATAAAAGGACTGTCATTGTTTAATTTAACATATGGCCGGTTGTATTTGTTTGTGTACTAGGTTGTGTAGCACTGTATTCCGGTTTATGTTAATGATATAACGACTAGACACTAGGCAAGGCCGTAATAGATTTGAAAGTTATCAACAATTTTTAACTGGTTTGACTATTATTGTAATTTTCAATAAACTATAACATATTTAATAAAATTGGACATTATGAAACAAAAGTTTTGTACTGTCGATGGTAATAGAACATCATGCAATTTAAGAAAATGCTACGATTTGTGGAAAAGTTAAATTTTATATGACATACCGAATATATAACGAAGATACCATTATTAATTTCAGTCACAATTTAACTTAAGTAAGTACCTTCGTAGTACGCTCTTCAGCTTTTTTTAAAACTTAAACAAAAAACCTCTTCGATAGTAACAGAAACTTAACTTATAACTAGAGTTGTTGTTCTAATTTCAAATAGTTTTTTTTTTTAAAGTAAGTTAGTTATTATCACGTATTTAATATTGGGCTCGCCTTGTAGTTGTTTCGGCTAAAAAATCTTACCATAAATAAATCTTAAAAACAATTACCAACTTGACGTTGTTGTGGTAGCGGCGTAGAAGACTTTCTTGTAAGAAAGTGCTGGTTAATTATCCCGTCACGGGACGTTTTCTGAACGAAGTTATCCGAAGCACTCTTGTCTATGTATAAATGTATAAATGTGCCCTCGGTTTGAGAGCCATTTTGGAATATTTAGCGAGGATGGCAGGCAACCTGACAGTATGGCTTTGGTCTCTTGGGATAGAGGCAAGGCCCTGGTGGATGATGCTACATGTGTATGATGCACTATACCGCGGGGAGTAGGTCTCTATGATTATTTTAGTTCTTATTTTTTAGTTATTTTTTATCATAAAATATATTGTATATTATTAAATAAAAAAATATATTAAATAAAAAATTATATATTACTTAAATAAAAAATATCCAATAAATAAAAATAATTCAGTTTTCACGAACGTTTTATATAACGTTGAAGGTTCAATGATTTCGGATGTTCTAAGGAGGTACAAACGGTGCGCTCTAAAGGATATTATCTAATAGATTGAGGTTGCGCAAGAGTGAACAGAGGTTGGATATGTGTGCCATTGGCCGCGGTAACCGATCGGTCATCTTATGGCTGTTTACTTTACAAATAAAATAACTAAAGGCTGATACTTACTTAAAAAGAAATAATAATGATAGTTATTTCTGTTATTTTATATTTTATTCTTAAAAAAAAAAGTTATCTCAACACTAGGATTTTTTCCTGTATCGTGGGGGCAATTTACGTACATAAATTTCACAAGAACAAACATACAGATTCAAAACAATTATTTGTAGGCCGTACAAATATTTGTTCTGTGCGAGTTTCGAACCCGCGGCCCTAAGTGCTACAACTCATTGCTAAGCTACTACGCCACGGAGACGTCTCAATGTAATATTATAGTCTACTCTCCAGACTTCATTATCGTTGCTATTTTTTAAACCTTAATTTTTCTATGGACATTGTATTTATGTCAACTTTATTCGTTAAGCTTCTTTCATAAATTAATTTAATAAAGAACTTAAAACAACTTATTAAGTAGGGCCATACTTATATTTACAATAGCTTCATAAAATGATATTCAAATGAAAATAGTAATATATTTTACGTGCCCTGATTTAGTATATTCTTGCTAAATATGCGGCATTTAAGTCATTTATTAAATTATAAAAATTGAATTAATAAGCTGTAATAATAATAATAATAATAATACGTTTATTTGTCGATTATAAATTAAAGATGTAACAATTTCATATTGTATCCTAATGATCTGCCATTTATTGGCATGCAAATATTCGAATGAAAATGAATTGTCCGAATAATTTCAATGTCAAACCAATTACGAGGTCAATCATCAAATCGTAATTGTATAATTTTAGTAAATGTCAAAAGAAAAAAAATATTTAAAATAAAATTAATACTATTTATTTAAAATAATGTTTCTGAGTTACTTTACTTAGCTTAAAAAAATTACTTATTTCATCATGCCACCATCTCACATGCCTTTCAGAAATTCACAAAACTCAGCTCCCAGAATACCAGCGTAGAATAGTAGTTAGTATTGCTATGTTTCGAATGGTGAGTGCAGAGAACCGGGAACTCTTAACTGGAAACGAGGAATTCCATCTTAGTAGACCTTAGGCGTGGCAACGCATCTGCATTTTGTTCTTAATCGAGGAAAGATGTGAATGTCTATACGTCACAAAATCCACTTACCATCAGGTGGACTAAGTGCTCGTTGGTCACCCTTATTTTATTAAAAAACTATTCCAGCTAGCATTGCTTTGAATACTTGCCCACACTCAACATATGTACTAGGCAGCCGTTACAACTTCACTTTAGTCGAGTTTTCTCTGGAACACATCCATTTGTGACCAGTGGGTGTAGTACAAACATGTAAGACAATTTGACACACGTTGTTTAGAAAGATAAAAATCTAAGAAGAAAAGTCGTCCCATAACTATTTATAATTTCATCAAGACACACCTATAATTTTATTAAAAGTTAATTTCCATTAAAAAATAAAAAAGTCACTTAAAAACTTAAAATGTAAGTTTCTATATCGATAATACTATCAGTATTAAACGTTATTGTTACTAAAAATAGTGACGCCTTATATAAAACGACAGTTGAACCTTCATTCATGTTTGTTTTTATTTTATCACGAGCTAGTTGACCCAAATTTTATTGTTGCTTTGAAAAGTAAATCGGTTATGTGAAATTTTTTTTCCAATTAAATTTTAAATGGTTATTTATATAGTTAACTACTTTTAAATCAGTTCTCTGGTTCGTTTGTCTTTTAAAGTCCTACGTTGAATTGTGAACTCACTTGTTGATCGGAGTTGAGTTTTAAAAAGTATAGCTTAGTTAAGCAGCTCGGTATCTCAGCGCAGAGCTGGTTGTGCTTCTCTCTATTAACAGCCAGTGCGATTTAAGTTTAGCAATTTTAAATGGATTTTTCTCTAGCGTTCGGACATCAGTCTCATGTTGATTTTATGCAGGGTGCGTACAGGTGAGATTGACATCCTGGAGAATAAGTTTGTCTACTCTCCCTTACACACCTGGTTTTATGTTTATTTATCAAGAAAGCAATTTAGTCCATAAACATTTCTTCTACGTAAGTAACAGTTTTTTTTTTATAGAATAAGGTTGACAAACGAGCACACAGCCCACCTGATGGTAAGTGGTTGCTGCGGCCCATAGACATCTACATCTATCTTCGTTTGCGAATTAAAATGCAGATGCGTTGTCAGCCGTGAGGACTAAGATGGAATGCCTCTTTTCCAGTAAAATGGGTCTCCGGTTCTCTACACTCACCATACGAAACAAAGCAGCAATAAGCTGCTATTTTACGTTGGTATTCTGTGAGAGCGTGGTCCTTCCCCGGTGGAGCCGACCCATTTGTGCTATAACTATACTATTAATATAGCTGCAGCATGGCTCTACCACGTAAACCACCACGTTTGTTGGTTAATTTTTTTAGTTTCAAATTATTAAATGTGTTACCATTTATAAGGCAACACAATCAACAAAGCTAAAACAGAAGCAATTTTTGTGTGTCGAGACACCGGACGCGAGTGCAACAATTATCTTATTACCAATTCAATGAAGGGAAACACAGAAACCGAAGCGTGCGTGCGTTGAATCCTTAAATCATCATCCCTTGTTAATTACTATTATTCTTTACATTATTGCGTGGCCGGGCACAGGTGACCAAATGATTAATAGTCCTATGTTTTTTTAATTTATAAATTTATTAAATACAAAAAGTAATTTTTTGAGTATGGGAGACAAACGAGCACACAGTTCACCTAATCGTAAGTGGATGCTATTTCCTAAAGACACTTACATTTATCATTTAGTTAATATCAGATCGTCCAAGTTGACTGCCGACACTTCGTCGATTTTATGGAGTAATATTAATAATCGCTACACTTGACAGGCGAAAGACGCTGTTTATCGTCGCCGATCTGGATATTCTACGAAATAGCATATAAATGAAATGTATCATAGCGTATAAATGTAATTTATCGGAGGCTGGAGACAGAGAGGAGATCTTTCTAACGTTTCCCATTATCACGGCTTACGAATCTTGTCGATATGTAGTGACAGATTATCCCAATACGCAGTAGTCACAAAACGATATGAGTTATCGATCCTAAGGTGTTGCTAGTAATCAAGTTTTCGTTTTTTTTTTTACTCTCCCTATAAACTAATTGTGAGCCCATTTTATGCTGTTATTGGCTGCGTAGTGTCGGTGTAATCCACTACCCCATACCGTCCTTGAGTGTCGTAAGAGGCAACAGAGGGAAACAAACCAGAAGATGGACAGCAGCGTCAGAGCCGTTCTTAATCATCATCATCATCACAGGCCCACACAGCCCTTCTCAAGTCCACTGCTGAAAATTGGTCTCTCCTAAGGAATGCCACAAAGCACGGTCATGAGACACCTGCATCCATCGACTTCCTGCATGTGTTACCAGGTCATCACTCCATCTAGTGGGGGGACGCCCTATACATCGTCTGCTGGTACGAGACTGCCACTCGAGAATCTTTTTTCCCCATCGGTTGTCGGTTCTTCGAGCTATATGGCTTACTAATCCGTTGGGCTATGTCGGTCACTCTGGTTCTACTGCGGATATCCTCATTTGTAAATTTATCATGCAGACAAACCCCGAGCATAGCCCTCTCCATAACTCGCTGAGTGACCTGGAGCTTCCTCATACGGCCAGCGGTGAAGGGCCACGTCTCAGATCCATAA